TGCAAAGATTGCATGGAACATTATTATTTTTGGTCTTGAAACTTGGTTTTTAAAAAATTCAACCTCCAAAGGGGTTGAGATTTTTGTTTGGGACATATTTTATTTGTGGTTGAGTTTACTTGAGACTTGGTATTCATGCTTTTTGATTAATCAAATGAAAAGAAGTTGTAACGTTTCCATTGGGTATATTTTATTTGTAGTCGGATTTACTCGAAGGTGGCTCTTAATACTCATTGTTGAAATCAAGCAAATACGTGTTTTGGCAATTTTTAAAAATCAACCCTTAAGGATGAAATGTTGTTGCTACGTTTTTATTTGAAATCCAAGATGGCGACATTACCTAAAATTAAAACTTTGTAGAGGTGAATTGGGAGTAAAAGGTTTTACGGAGAAACAATATTAATTTCTGCGAGCGAAGCCGCGGATAAAAGTTAGTATTCAATAATAATGGTAAATGTTATTCTTTGTTTTTGTAAGGTTTTTTTAGTCCACGAGAAATAAGTTATCTGCCTGCGCTGAAGAAGAGATCACTAACACCTTGTTTGTACTGTATGAATCAATTTGCTTAGCACGGGGTAGACCAAATAAGGCATATAATTTTTTTATTCAAACGTCAAAAAAATTAAACAATAATTTATATTTTTTTTATTTTTCAGTGTAATCGAGCCCTCAATAATAAATGTTTGAAGGAGTGACCCAATGATGCTGTTACACTAATCGTTCATTATATACGTACCAATTTTAACGTAATATTTTCTTTTTTTTTTTGTAATCAAGTTTGTATTTACACATAAGAGTTTCTTTTTTCAATGGACAAATATCAATGCGAAAAATCAAAGCCAATAGCAAGCGATGTGTCAGCCTTAATGAAAGCACTTTATCAAGGTGAATTTTTTTGGTCAGTACGATGATAACATTAAGTATGAAGAGCATAGATACTGACAACGAAATGCTAATTTATCTCCCTAATCAGAAATTAAATGCTCCGGTTGTTTTTTCAAAAACTATTGTTCTGATAGCTTAAGAATTATTGACCAGAACATTAGCGAAAAAATGTGTAACAATGAAATAGACTTATTTTAGTCAATGTGTAATTAAATGCTCATTAAATGTTTTCGGATAACTACTAATTACGAATGAAATATTTTCAGTATCTTTGTCATAAATAAGCAATTTCACGGCATGGATAAAAGCACTGAAGGGGACCAAAAGAGGATTAAACAACAAAAACCACTGTTTTAATTATGTACTGATTAAGCCTTCCAACAAATTAAATCCTTTGGATTTTTAACTATTTAATTATCTATTATTCTAATAGTTGTTAAATGTAATCAATTAATATCGCTGAACAGGTGCTGTAGTTTTCTTTTCGCCTTAAAAGAACGAAATAAGAATTTAAGTTAAAAACCGAAAGTTGAAAAACGTAAAGTTCATGCTTAGATGATTATTTGTATGTTTCATGTTAAAGGTCCCGTCTTATGCGGTTTGATCTGCGAAAGTTTCATTTAGTCTTCTGTAAAGTGCTTAAAGTAATAAGGAAAAGTTCATGTTCCTAACTTTCTTCAGAAAAGCAAAGACGTTCCGGATGCACTAATGTTTATTTTATTACAATTTCTGGTGTGTTTGTTGGGTTAATTCGAAGCTTCGAATGTAATTTGGAAAGGGCCTCGCATTTTCATTTTCTCCCGCGAGCATTATGGAAATGAAATGCTTCAACATGCTGCCATTATTTTATTCGTTGGAGGTATTTTCACTTTGCAAGCTATTCCAGCGACCTCATCAAGTTTCAAATCGTATTTGCTACTTCATAAAAGCGCTTGGAGTGAACAAAAGAAAGCCGTTTATTCCATAAGGCCGCTACTGATCCTTTTCCTGAACTAATTGAATGACACGGGTAGATGAACGATAATATGTTTGGGAAACAATATACCTACTTATTGACGTTTTTTGGGCAGCAAAACATAAACATGCACTTCGATTTTACGCTAAAAAAAAAAAAAGAAAAAACAAAATAATGAGCCACTAAACATGTTAAAATTGAAACTTTGTTGCGAAATGAAGTTAGCAATTTTTCACTGGACAGAGTAAATTGTGTTACGTGTTCATTTTGTGTTGATAATTAAATCATTTTTGCTAAGGTAGATTTGATTTTGAAGTAATTCATAAATGTAATTCGTTAAAAACAGAAATGCAAAAATGTTGTAATAATATACATATATATTAACAATTTTAGAAGACTTTTGTAAAGTTTTCAATAGATAAAAGTGAATTAATTTTTAAAAGCAACTAATGAAATTATCTGTAGTCATCATCATAAGGTCGTCAGTTCTAAGACTGGTTGAACACGTAGCTCAGGATAGGAATGAGTGGAGTTTCCTATCCTGAGCTAAACTTCACATTTCCCTAAAACTAGAACAACCCACATCCTTAACTATTTGCGAACAGTTATCTAATCTAAGTCTACCTCTCCCCCCTCCTAATTCCTGTTTCGGCCTCTAATATGTCTCTAACTAGACCTTCATGCCTGAGGTGTCTTACCAATCTATCTCGCCTATTTCTTATTGACTTCTATAGAGTCATCTATTTTCCTATTATTTCTAACACCTCTTCATTTCTAACCTTTTCTATCCACAGTATCGTTATCATTCGTCTGTAACACCACATTTCGAACACTTTTAACATTTTCTTTTCCGCCGCGCTCCTTATCTGTGGTGGTAAAAATTAATGCACTTCAAAATATACATACATATCATTTAATATAAAGAAGCCTAAGGCTGATATGAAGTATCTTTTTCCTCTTTTATGGTTCCATTCCCGAGAAACAATATATTAATCGTTAAAGCGGGATTGTTAGAATATTTTAAGACATTAATTAAAAGACTTTTAGATGGGATTATGAAATATTGCAGAATACATTCTTGTATAAAGATATTGTTTATGTCATCAGCAGAAGAAGCGTAGGTACATGGTGAAGGCAGTTCTTAATGTATGCTGACAGTAACGCAGAAACTCTTTGTACCTAAGTTAACTACACTTGACGTCGACAACACCAAAGGCAAAGAGAAACTTGAGGATGTTGTGTTCAGACACTCAAATGGTCGTAGCAGACAGTGGCGAACGTGAACTCACATTGGGGAGTTCAAACCGAAGTAGGGCTCAAACGTGTGGAAGTACATAACAGCCAAGAGCGGACACTTGACCTAATTTCCTTTTACACATTTAATGTGATTAATAAAAAACGAAAGCCCTCGAATAAATGAAAACTGAAAAATGTAGGTACCGCTACATTAAAAATTACAGAGCAAACAACGATGAAAGGGAATTAAATCTGCTTTGCTACAAGGTGATTAAACAGATCGACAGACACAGAATAGGGATTGCAAATTAAACAGTATCGAAGATGTGACATACCTATCCAAGGCAATATCTACCAGATTTAAAAGGATATGTTGCATAAGAAATTCATCATTGTGTAATTTCATTTATAACAAAAATATAAACAAAAATGTAGAACTAATAATACAGTTGCTGTATAGTGACGTCACTGCCTTGTGTCTTCTTTAACCATGACAGCGTGAGAGAAGAATAAAAATAGCGACAGTGTTTTTAAAAAAATGGTCAGACGTAAGTCGTACTCGCACACTGGAAATTCCTAAGGGGATGTCCATAGAACGTATGACTCTGTATAGAGGCAGACGCTATTCTGAAGTATTTGCGGCATGTGGGCGGAGAAGTTGATACCCGATCAATGTGTATTTTCATTGTTAGAAAAATGAAAGTTTATGTAAGAACGTTTAAGTTATTTGTCAAACATTTATCAAAACTACCTTACTCGGAATTGATTCTATTTCATTAGCGCGTCATAAGGCAGTGTATCAATAAATTACTAACCAAACCGAAGAAGCTTATAAAAAAAGAATATCTACTAGATGACGATGTATTGCCTATATTTGAAAATATACCTAATTTTATATTAAATTAGGTAAAGCAACCTTTCGCTGCGTCATGGACAGTGCATACTATCACAAACTAGAAATGTAAATAGAACCTTATTTCTAATGAGTCAAAAATGTTTAAAAAAGCACTTATTTAAAGGGACAGTGGGATATTCGTCACAGACTTTTACTGTATTATCAGTCATTCAAGCACAGGGTTAACAGTCGAGTCAATGTTTCTGAAGTGCACAATATAAATGCAGCGAAATCTGTCCTTCACGCATTTCGCGATCCAGGATATTTTAAAATACTTCTAACTGTAACATTTCATGTTTGGCGAGGACCTTACAATATGTAACACTAGGACTTCGTTATTATAAGTAAATGTTTGTGGGAGACCGTCGTACTGTTAAGGTCGGATCTTTCGTGCCCTAGAATTATGTCGCAGTTCGAGAGGAAAAATAGCACTTATTTGAGTGTATGTGCGGTGAGCAGATGGGCAATGAATATTTGACTAGCTATGTACTGGAGAGTAATTGCGAGTAGTTTGAATCATTGGAGTTTTTTCACACACCCGTGTAACGTCTTCAAGACTTTTTGTGGTACTTCAGATAAAGATTATTCTATATTGTCAACGGTGAGCGGAAATTTACCAGAAAGTAGACATAGGAAAAGAATAATTTAGTGAGTGGCACTTATGGAAGAAAGTAGTAGAAGTAAAGAAGAAGGAAAAGGACCGATAAAAAGTGGGCTTAGAGACGTCAGATAAGAGGAAGAAATTAAAAAAAGAAAAGTTTGCAGCCTGGAAGAAGAAAAGAAGGAATAGAATAGAAAAGAATTAAAAAAAATTGTTACTGAGATGGACAAATTGGATGTGTTATTGAAATTAGTAGAAGAAGTAAAAGAGAAAAAACCAAGAAAAATGGAGTTTGCTTGATTTTCTTTAGAAACATTTTATCTTCCCGAATCACCATAAGTGTCATTTATTTAAGTTTTAACTTGGTAATTATAGTTGGTCTTGAACAATCCTATACATTTAGTAATGATCACATGAATAGTACTTACTTCAAAATCCATTAAACTTCTTATTACCAATAGTAGCGCACAGATGAAAAATAGGAATGTCACTAAATTTCTTGAATCGGTGACTGAAGTTACTAATGGAATTGATCCCATCTGCCAATCATGCGAAAGAGTTGCAGGGCACAGAAGCAGCCACCAGTTAAATGCCGCTAGATAGCAGAATGTAAGAAATCTGGAACAAAAATATATGAGATGTAGTTACGCTATGCGTAAGTATTAATGTTAGGGTCGCTAAAATAATAAAAAAAGGGAGCACTGCTATCATTTAGAAATATTATATTAAAATAAGTAGGTACCCTCTAGGAAGCATAAAAACATATTTCAAAGTTATTAAAGGAACTTAAACTTGGCAAATTTTTTATTAAAATGTTAAAAACTGATAAATGTTTTGAATAGTGTTTTTTGGAAGGAATAAATTATTGGCACGAAGTTTCTTGTAACGGCAAGGAACTAACCAGAATGATTAGCGTTGCTACAGATGAATTCCTTTTTATCCCCTGCTTGTTTTACCGCAATTTTAACCTGAACTCAAAGGACCAACAACTATAATTAAAAGTTATATTATAAATTAAATAAAAATCCTGTTTTCTTTAAGCGGTCTCTAAATTCCCTGTGTCTAGAGAAATCTACCTAAGTCTGACAACGTTGACCAAAAATCTAACGTTGTTAGTAGATATCTCTTTTCCTTTTATTTACTTATTGCAGAGAGAAAAAGAGACAGCTGATGAGGTACATTCGATTCTGGTGAATATAACCAATCGGAGTCACTTTCTAAATACCGAATTTTTTCGCTTTATATTCGCTCTTTCTTAACTTTATCTTCCCTTACTATCCAGTATTCTTGTTTAACATTTATTTTCATACAATACTATTTTGTCATTTCATTTTATTTAAAGCTATCTCTAACTACTACTTACTACATGCCAATACTGTTATATCATCTGCACATCTATGCATAATAATATTTTGCCCCCGTATATCTAAGCTTACAGTTGTGCTGTCTTTAATGATGTTGATTGCGTCTTCGATGTATATATTAAAAAGTAACGGTGTCAGTATGCATCGCTGTCTGACTCCCTTCTTAATATTTACTTCTCTATGTTGCAGCTCCAGCTCCTATAACTGCCTGTTGCTCTTTATACAAACTATCCTTGTCGTGGTACAATATTGTCAATAGCCTTTGAATCATGTGCGTGGTAAGAGTATATGAGGATGTAGCGACATGAGCATTTTTGTCTAATGCTGTCCCTATGATCACATTATGCATACAAATCTCATACGTGCCTATTGTAATGTTCGTGGGTTTAACAAAATTACTACTAAACTTAGGTTATGAATTATTCTATTTATTTACACTACTGTTGATATATAACTATTCACTGAGCTATTTATTTCACTGCTATCATTGTCAATTTATTTCTCGATTCATTTCTGCAACGGTAATTTATTTCTCCTTACCTCGGCGATCGTCGCTTCCCTTAAATACTCTTTTGTTTACTTTCTGGAAACATCCGGATAGTTTATTTTTTTCTTTGAACTGTTTAGATGCTTTCCCAGAACACAGGTACGACACACACATTTATAAATACGGCGCACATGAAGAAAGGCGCCCGAGGCTAGTCAGCGAATCGATAAGCCGTTCACGCACATGTGTGCACGATCGCACACAAACACACTCGTGCTCGCTACAGTATACACGAACACTATGAAATATTTTTCTATAATACTATAAATACTTCTATCTCTGAAGCTCTTCCCTATATTTTTAAGTATATTTAATATTTTGTTCCATTTAACATTGTCAAAAGCGTTTTAGAAATCTACAAATCTTTTCTATTGTTTTTTCTATTGTTACCCGTAAAATTAGAATGGGTTCCCGCGTTCCTCTATTTCCTCTAAACCCAAACTGATCTTCCTCTAATAGTTCTTCCGCCCTTTATTCCATCCTCCTCTGTACAATTCTAGTCGGGATTTTTGACGCATGGAAAGTTATGCTAATTATTCTAAAACTTTCTCTCTTTGTGGGTATGGTTACTACTACGTTCCGTTTATAAAGCTATGGGACTTTCCCCGTCTTGTAAATGTGACTAACTAGCTTGAATATACGATCTCTAACCTCTTGTCCTGCATGTTTTAAAATTTCTGTCTGTATCCTATCTACACATGGCTCCTCATTATTCTTTAACTCTTCTCTCATAATGGGATAAGCTAACTCATCTATATCCACACTATCTTCCTTCTTTAATATATCTTTGAGCTCATGACCTGCGTATAGGTACTCTAAATATTCTATCCACTTGTCCTTTCCTTATTTTCTACCAAAATGAACCCTGCCTCATTTCTTATATTATTACTACTTTACCCTATATCTCTTAAATTCCCTAACATTTCTATTTCCTAATACAAAAGAACCTGCTATTGCAGAGTTTTTACCTTATTACTGCGTTGAAGTTTCCTACAACTACTAGGTTTCCCTCCCTTTCACTAAGCTTAACATGTCTTCCATTACAACATCAACTGCTTCTACGTTTTCATCATTATAAGATGATGTAGGCATGTAGACCTGCACTATTACCGTTTTTACCGGCTTCGAGTTTAATTTAACCATGAGTATCCTATCGCTTTTTTGTAAATAACTTTCTTGACTTTGCCCTGCTTTCTCACGCATTGCAATACCTACCCCCGAATAACCTTCCACCGATTCTGTATGTACTCTTCTAATGCCTCCACTCTAGAAGTCTCCAGCTTTAGGCCAACAGACTGCATTAATGCCTACCGATCTTCATGATCTCTGCCATCCTGAGTATTGAAAGAGCTGCTGTTCTCTTTCAGGGAGTTAGTATGGTTTCTCTTTCGGTCCAGTTCCCTTAATCATCGAAACTCGCAAGCCGATTCACCCACTGTAGTTTGTACAAGAGCTTCGTCAAGGTTCATGTTCCCTTGGATCGAAGTGGTTAGTTATTTAAGCAAAATACAAGTTTCAAACTTCCTAAAATATACAACTTCTGTTTGTATATTGGGTTAAAAGATAAAAGTTTTTATACATGATTTAGTAGTCAAAGGCAAATTCTTGAATTGAAAGGTAGTAGTGTGCTTGTATCGCACTTATGCAATGTGCCACAGGGGCTGTCGGCCATAAATAATATGTCAGTTCTTGAACCGTATCGGGTAAGGTAGAAATGCTTAGGAGAAAAGAATCTGTTACAATTTTCTACTGCAGATGTAATTTGTATCGGCAATAAATCGTCGAGAAAGCTAAAATTTTTTGAACTAACAAATGTTTTGCAAAATTTGTATTAAATAATAAACGAACTAAATACTTTCTTTTATAACACACAACTTATTAAAACTTGGAGCATTTTGTTGTCTGAGTAGGTACTATTATTTAATTAAAATTTTCAAAGTGTATCACTTATGTCTGCGGGCAATTTCAAGATCATTTAGGATTCACATTTTACCCACTATGAAAATGTCATTATTGGAAATTTGTATTTAATTTTGTTTTTTAAATAAACTGAGAAACGGTTAATTATACTTATTATTATCCAACAATTACAGGCACAAATTATGAAAAATAAATACAAATGTGGTAAAGATAATTTCGCCATTTCCAAAAACTCACAAAATGAATTAGAATTTCAGTTTTTCTTACTGGTTCATTACTTAGGTACCTATTTATCAAGAAATGATTACGCTATTCTGACTTCTCTGTAGCTAGCATCCCAGCTGAACTTTACTATCCTTTCATTGAGAAAAAAAGGTCATGAAGGCAAAGCAAGCTTAACTATTTTTAATATGAAGTTATGAGACCTACAAATTAAGCATTTTATTAGTTGTCCATTTTCGCAGTAGCAGTAGTATGACACACTTTGCTCCAAGCGGTCTTGCCGTTGAGATTGGAAGAAAATGTTTCCAATAAAAAATGTCCCTGGTGAAATGATCCATCTGCGGAAAATAATTTCAGAGATGGCGGACTTCCGGATATACCGGAAGTATACATCAGCTGCCTTATTTTAAATGCAACACCCTGTATATTATTACATTTTTTAATTCAGCATCGATTTTAATGTCCAGTTTATTAAGCATAGTTTTTGCCTGCGTGGTACCTTTTTGGAGTTATTTAGTAATTTCTAGAAAATTGGACGTTTGTAGTACCTTACAAAAATTTTAATATCTCGGCAATTATACTCGATAAAAAGATGCGGCTTTTGCTATTAAAAAGACTATGAAACGCACTTGGCTTTCCATCAATTCCCTTTCGATTTTATTAAGGTTTATTAGGTTCTACGCTTTTCAAAATAATTGCGATTTATTAATTATTTTGTAATATGCAGAGGAAACGGATAGATCCTAGGCGGCATGGGTTCATAGCCGAACATACATGCTGTCATGTTTAATTATTGATAAAATTACTTAAACCCAACACCACACAAACAATTAATGTCATAAAAGATTGCCGTAACTCCACGAGCAGAATTTTCTCAAAATGAAAATGAACAGTTTACAACAACCGCGATACATATTTAATAATTAATTGTAAATAAAGTTCGTTCCAAATATTGTTTATATTGGAGTTTTATTCACTTCGACAATTTTGAAAAAATTCTGTTAATGAAATCACGGCGATCTTTTATGACAGTAATTGTATATCTTAATAAAATCGAAAGAGAATTTAATTTTGTATCCAACGATGTCGAAATGAACATAGCTTCCCATTTGAAAAAAATGAGTTATTGAGAACACCTAAAATTTGAAAATTAATAGTGTTTTTTAATGTGGTTTGAAGGAAATTTTTACAAATAAAAGTGAAGTGTGTTTCATGCTCTTTTCAACAGCGAAAGCCGCATTTTTTTGCGAGATACTAAAATTTTTGTAAAGTACCACAAACGTCAAATTTTTTAGAAATTACTATATAACTCCAAAAAGATACCGCGCAGGCAAAAGGTATGCTTAACTAACTGGACATTAAAATCGATGCTTAATTTAAAAATGTAATAGTATACAGGGTGTTCCGTTTAAAATAAGGCAGCTGGTGTATATATATATCCGGAAGTCCGCCACCTCTGAAATTATTTTCCGCAGGTGGTCAGGGTCATTTTTTATTGGAAACATTTTCTTCCAATTTCAACGGCAAGAGCGCTAGAGAGTAAGGCGCGCTTAATGGAATACTGC